TGATTCTATGATGTTCATCTCCATGACAGCAGGGAGATGTCCTCCATCACACCTAACAGTTACGTGGGAAGACAAACTCCATCCCAGATGTCTCCCCTTCCTTCTTCTTCCTCCAGCTCTGGATGCTGAGCATGATGTTATACAATATGGAATATCCCTTTGGTCAGTTGGGGTTGGCTGCCCCAGCTGTGTTGCCTCCCAATTTCTTGTGCAAGCCCAGCTGGTGGGAAGGTGTGAGGAGCCGGAAAGTCCTTGACTTGCTGCTCTCCTCAGCAATAACCTGAGTTATCAACACTGAATTCCCCACACTGTTGATGTATCCCTGACTTATCAACACTGCTTTCAGCACAAATCCAAAACACAGCCTCATTGCAGGCACTAGGAAGAAGATTAACTCCATCCCAGCCAAAACTAGCACTGGGTATCAGGGCAGGAATTGATGTGAGCTCTGTTTGAAATTCCTACGTGTGTTTTACATGAAGAGCTTTGCTTTGTAGCTTGTAGAAAGCAATTACACTTATAATTGGGGATTGATTGATTGATTGATTATCCTCAGGTGTGTCATCCCTTTGGACACATTTACAAAAAGGGGAGATTAAAACATGAAGAAATAGGTTATGATTTAGCCTGGCTTGATTTGCTCACTGAAGATGAAGGAAGGCTGATAAAGAGTGTATAGAACCATGTACATCTCAATCATACAGTGTCACCTGCTCTGGGGGCATTTTGACATTAAAACAAAGGGCTGTAGGTATTTATTGAAATAAATTAATTTACCTAATTGCCTTCAGAATGTACACAGGTTTGAAGAGAAGTATATACTAGCTTTTATTTTTGTTGGCAGAGTTTCTGATGAGTGACAGTCCATGTAAAGACTCTAGTGTTGCAACTCCCCTCTCAGCTAGTACAACTGGTGAGATGTGTAAAACCAACAACAACCCACAGGAAAAACAGCTGAAGTTTAAAAGAGTCTAAGAGTGGGTTGAGGGAGCTGGGGGGGTTTAGCCTGGAGAAGAGGAGACTCAGGGGGGACCTTCTCACCCTCTTCCACCACCTGAAGGGAGGTTTAGTCAGGTGGGGTTGGGCTCTTTTTCCAGGCAACCAGCAACAAGACAAGAGGGCCTGGCCTGAAACTGCTCCAGGGGAGGTGTGGGTTGGGTATCAGGAAGCACTTCCTCATGGAAAGGGTGACCAGACCTTGGGATGGGCTGCCCAGGGAAGTGGTGGAGGCACCATCCCTGGAGGTGCTCAAGGAAAGGCTGGAGGTGGCTCAAGGTCTGGAGATGTGGGGGTGTTGGTCACAGGCTGGGCTGGATGATCCTAAAGGTCTTTTCCAGCCTTGGTGATTCTGTGATTGATTCTGTGCTTCTGGGTGGGACACCCTGGTGACCCCCTGGCCTCTCCTTGGTGCCCCACAGCCGTGCAGCACGAGCGGGGCCCCCGGACGTCGACGATACGGAAGCAGGTGGCCCTCTACTTCCGTGGGCACAAGGAGGAGAGTGGTGGTGCCCCCCATTTCCCTGCTGCTGCCCTGCCAGCACCTGCCTTCTTCACTGCTGTCTCCCAGCTGGAGCCCCACAGCCTGGAGCTGGCTGCTGTCACCAGCACCCCCGAGAGGCAAGCTCTGGTGGGCCTGGCGCAGCCCACCCCAAAGGTCAGCCACTGCCCCGGCCCCCCTGGGCCTGCAGACCCTGCTGCTGGGGTGCCTGCAGCCCCACAGCTCCTTCCTGACTCTGGGATAGACATTGCAAAGAGCAGGGCTTGGAGGGTGTGGTGGGGACTCTTGTGTGACATCCCTGAAAGCTCTGAGGGTGTGAGGTGCCAGGGGTGAGGGGTCCTCTGCAGAAGGGGTACACAGAAGGAATGACTGATAACCTGGTCCATATAAACCGTGTCTCTCCTACATCCTTACACCCTCATGACTGCAGAAGTGCTCCTCCTGATTGGAGCCAATTCACAAGACAATCTGAAACCCAGTTCCATGAGGATGAGCCCCGATCACCCAGTTGTCTCCAGTAAAACACCCATCTCCATGGCAGAGGTGTCCCTGCCCATGCAGGGGGGTTGGAACTAGGTGATCTTCAAGGTCCATTCCAACCCAAACCATTCTCTGACTCTAGGAAAATGCCCATCTCCATGGTGGTGTAGTCCAGAAGAAGCTATCTGTACTGACCAAGGCCTCATCCCCACAGACACAAAGGTGTCCAGCCTGGCTCTGCATTTCTTGGCTGTGACACCTTCTAAGCAGCCCAGTGCAAGCCCTGCTGTGGCCTCAGCTGCACAGGAATTAGCCATAGGATGATGTTTTTCATTAACCCATTTGCAAAGGCATTTTGCCTATTTGCAGCACCAAAAAAAATCAAAGAAGAGACAACTTAAAATGATTCCCCATTTCCAGAGTTGATAGCTCGGGAGAAGCCATGACAAGCATGATCACAACTTACAGTTTGATGTTCAAATGTTGCAGAATAGTGAATCAGAAATTATGTAGCAAGAAAACACAGCACATGCTTGAAAAGGTTACTCCACTCCAACACCAGACACCCTTCAGGCAGTTAGACTTAGCTCTGCACATCTGCTTACAGCCTGTTGCAGCCAGGGGGGCTAGATGAAGGTTGAGGCTCAACCAGTGCTTACTGCTTTACTGAGCAAGGCTGGAGTACTAATCAGCTGCTGAAGCACAGGTTACAAGCCACAAAATTCTTCATCAAAATTCTTAATCAGATGTGCATTCTGCTGGCAGCAGTGTGCTATTGTGTAAGAGGGGAAAAGATGATTTCTGGTCTGGTGGGAGGTGTCCCTGATCACAGCAGGGACCTGATGATCTTGAAGGTCCCTTCCAACCCAAACCATTCTAAGAGTCTGTGACACGGCATGTTGGTATTGGGTTTTTTTTTTCCCCTTGAAGTAATGATTTCTTTCTGTCTCCAAGCTCCCCCGGAGCTCCTGTAGCACAGCTCCTCCACACGGGTGAGCAGCAGGGAGCTGTTTGCAGCCAGCCCACTGAAAGCGATGCCCTCTGCTTGCAGAATAAGAGAGTGCAGACTCTGCTCTGGGCAGGAGCACGATGCACTGGAGTGGCAGCTGGAGGGGGGAAGGAAGACCAGGCTTGCCTTGACACTCTATGAAGTTGCTTTCTTTTCTTTTCTTGACATCAGTACCCACACGAAGTCAATGGTACCCCCATGTATCTCTACGAAGTGGCCACCGAGTCCGTCTGCGAGTCGGCAGCCAGACTTCTGTTCATGAGCATCAAGTGGGCCAAGAGTGTCCCAGCCTTCTCCACCTTGTCCTTACAAGACCAGGTAAGACACCTGAAGTGGGAGTGGTCTTGTAAGGACCAGGCTCAGAGCTCAGATTGGGTCCTGAACCTTCAGCCTTAGATCTTTAAATCTGTAACGGACTTCCAACAGCTCTCAAATTCAGGGCAGGGTTTTGGTTTGTCCCTAAGAACCAGATTTAGAAACTGCTTTCCTCCAACTGTTAATTCATGAAGCAAATGAAAACTAAGCCACAAGAAAATGTAATATAAAGAGAATATGATGGGAGACAAGTTCTAGAAGAAAAGTCACCAGGCTGCAGACCAATGTCAGCATGTCAAAACTGCTTCCCTACTTGTGGGACAACTTTCCCCTCCATAAAATAGAGAATAGCATCTTATTTTGCTATTTTGGGATGAGAAGTGCTCAGTAAAGCATTTGGCCTCGGGATATGACTGAGGTGATTTCTGAAGACCATCTCTCCTCTCCTCTCCTCTCCTCTCCTCTCCTCTCCTCTCCTCTCCTCTCCCCCCTCATTTTTTCTTATTCATGTTGACTTCAGTGAACTGCCATTCCAATCAGACCAATTCAGTGGAAGCAGAATTTGGCCAGCCCCCAGTATTTTTCACCATTCATTAAAATCTTCCTTAATTTGTCTTGTTTTCCTCTCTGACACTTTGCCTTTGCCTCAGGTAAACCACATGTGAACCACATGAGCTGGAGCAATTTATTAATGACTTGATTCTAGATGAGACTCAGTGTGATTTATACAATGCTCTAATTTTATTATTATTATTTTTTAAAGTAATCATGTAATTACAAAACGGAAGGGCAGAAACCTACACAAAGCTCCAATCATAAAAGACATCTAATATTTTGATATGATGGAGCTAATTTCTCAAGCTGGTAACTAGAAACATTGTGCTTTAGATGCTACTTAGAAGGCAGCAGAGGAACTAGTTCCCTCCCATGGATGCAGGTTGCAAGTGTTGCAGTTGATATGCAAATTGGTATTTTGGACCCAAGGGGAGGAGTTTCTTAGGAAACCAAGAGTTTACCTAAAGGCAAATGGTGATGCTCACAGTGTGACAGAGAACTAAGGCACGTTGAAATGTCCCTGTCACAGCTCCAAACCCATTTTGGAAATCCCTGCTGGGGAACGAGGCGGGGGAGGCTGCCCAGCCCTGGCAGCAGCAGCTGCTGGGGAAGGGAGAGACCAGGGGGTTTGGACACAGGGGCAGGGAGGCAGCAGCCCCAGGACAGCATCAGACTCTCTCATGTTGTCTTCTGCTGCCACTGCTGCTGCACAGCACCTGCTCTGCCACACCTGGCAAGGGAAGGAACAGGCTGAGTATCATAGAATCACAGAATGTGTGGGGCTGAAAGGGACCCTTAAAGGTCATCCAGTCCAGCCCCCCTGCAGTGCACAGGGACCTTTTAGACTAGATCATGTTGCTCAGAGCCTCCTCAAGCCTGATCTTCAACACTGCCAGGGATGGGGCAGCCACAGCTTCCCTGGGCAACCTGGGCCAGGCTCTCACCACCCTCACAGCAAAGAATTTCCTCCTCATGTCTCACCTCAATCTCCCCTC